TAACATATCTAATCTATTTAGGATTTCTTGATAAAAACTAACTTCAAATCTTATAAAATTTATTTATTTTTCTTATTTTTTTATAAAATAAATAAATAATATATATTCATAAATTTTCTTGAACTCAAAAATTTCTTTTCCACACGAATTCTAATTTGTAAAAATCTCTATAATAACATTAAAATAAATAAAAACATACAAATATAAAAAAAAATGTATATATATACGGGTATTTCATGTTTAAAATTAATGGACGCATAAAAAAAATAAATTTAAAACCATTTAAGATAAATAAGCCAATTTCAAATAAGTTTAAAATAAATTTAAGGGTAATAACAATTTTATTATTAATTAAATAATATAATGCCCGAAAATTAAGTTAAATTTAATAAAGAGACCGTGCTAGAACCACGGGAGTCGAGGGGTGCCTAACACCTTCTCCTCGGTTAACAGAGTCAAATTTCCTTTTGATTAGGGATTTAAATAAGGTGACTTGGAACACCAAAACTTAATTCCAAGTGACGACTCTAAATAATAATTATCCCACGTCACTTTAATTAGAAATTTTTTTTTTCTTTCAAAACAAATAAAAATAAAAAATATTGGGAAAAAAAAGAGGCGTGACAATTATGGTCAAAGTATAGCACTATATAATAACCATTTATTAGAAGAAGTCAAAACAAGGAAAGTTCCAGCTTTCTTCAGCAATAGACTTTGAAAGCCTTTAAGGAAGCACGTGCGAACACGCAATTTTTGAAAAATGAGACCTCAGTTGCTTTAAAATACATCAATTAAATAAGCCCCTAACCTAACTACTACTCCTATATAACATATGCGTTATTTTCTTTATCTCTCTCAATCTCTTCCTTCATTTTAAGCAGCCTATAATTGAAGAAATTTGGGTGCTGTTTCCCTTTTTTGCGTAACTTATACACTAAATAATTAAAGCTACGCCATGTTAAGAGCAATGAGTACACGAAGGGACTATAGAGGATACGGAGTATTGAATAAGGGAGAGGAAGATGAGGAGGCTTGTGCTCCAATATTGGGAAACCCTAAATTGAGCAGAAACAGAACAGTTCCTGCTTCTGCTGCTGCTAAGTTCTTTAGATCTTCATCGAAGAAGGTTACATCGGAGGACAATTTTCGTGCAAGTGCTCAGCTAAAAGAAGCGAAAAAGGCGAGCAAGATTCACCCGATATTTAGTTTATTTGAAACGAAGAGGAAGAAAAAGGCAACTGCTAGGCCTGAATTCTCAAGGTACATTCAGTATCTTAGAGAGGGAGGTTTTGGTGATGTATTGCAGACGACTACTACTTAATTAATTCCTACAAAATCAACTTGGCTGCAGTTAATTAGTGATCTAAAATAAGTTAATTTGGATTTTGTGGTACAGAAGACGATCATTGATTTTTTTTATTTGGTTTACTATATATGGTCTTAATTTGGAGCTGAAGAGCATGATATTCAATTGTGTAAATATACGTCATAATGCAAACTTGTTTTAGATTAAGAATGTTAATTATCTATTTCTTCGGAATAACTAGAATAAACAATCTATACATATTATTAAGTGAATTTCTTGTTAAAAAAAATTAAACGAAAAATATTAAAATTAGATACCAACAAAATTATTAGATTAATAACAAAACATAAATTCACTTGACCTCCGTTTAGTCTTTGAATGAATTAAAAACCATAATTTGGAAGAAGGTTTTCCATCATTTTTGAATTATGTATTTGCTTGGTTTAGAAGGAAGAAAATGTCTCTAATTTGAAACTAAAGGAAATACATTAATATTAATATTATTTATAATAAATCAAGTTGAAAGAAACAAACTACTAATCCTTCATACTCATTCAAACATGTCGGTTATTTGGCTAATCAATTACACTTACATTAATTTATCCATCTTTCAATTTCATGTTTTTTGTGGAAAGGGCAGGGCATACTCATTCAAACATGTCTGCTTTTCGCTAGTCAATTCGTAATACCCAATTTTCTTTTTTAACACAAAAATAAACTAAAAATAAATAGTGCCTGGCCTTAATATACCCAAGCATTAATTGACTCTTCATAGCATATAGGTACACGTGGTGGCAAGTGGCAATTAAAAATTGTGATAAGATAAATGTTATAAATTTTTATTATTATATAATTTAATAAAATAAAATACTTGTTAATTAATTTGATCAAATAAATTATAATACAAACTTAATATATGTATATTGATTTGATATAAATATTTCGTGTCAATTGAATTTTAGCCATAGATAAATGAAGAATGCATAGTGCAAGCTAACTCTATGGCCTTTTATTTTCTTTCATGTGGTCCCACTTCCATAAAATTATTTGATTTTGTTACTAGAAAAGTCAGACAGTTAGCTGTTAGCTTCGTAGTTGATAAGGCGTACGCAAATATTGAAAAATAAGGCCACATATCGTATTAATGTCAGAATACCTCAACTAATAACAATTAAACAATTTCACTTTCCGGCCAATTAAACTATTTAATACTACTTCATTGTTACATTAACATTTCTCAATACGATCTCCAAACTTTCTCATCTTTCCTCCTATCATATTAATTAAATAGGTCTTTCACTGTTTTGTTACCTTTGTTTTTATAAGTTAATTAATTTAGCTTAGCCATGTTTAGAGCACTGAGCACACGAAGAGATTATAGGGGATATGATGAATTGATTAAAGAGGAGGCACCATCCACTCCACTAGTAGATCCAAAATTGAACCGAAACAGAAGCGTTTCAGCAGCTTATAAATTTTTTAGTCCATCCAGGAAGGAGCAAAATTTTCCGATGAGTCCTCAAGTGAATAAGGAAGCGAAAAAAGCGAGCAAAATTCACCCGATATTCAGCCTATTCGAAACGAAGAAGAAGAAGAAGGCAACTGCTAGGCCCGAATTCTCGAGGTACATTCAGTATGTTAGAGAGGGGGGTTTTGGTGATGTGTTGCAGACTTCTTCAGTTCCTCCAACTTCACCACGGCCGTGAATTGATTCAATAAATTCGGTAATTATGATGAGATAACTTGATTTTTTTTAATTTTCTGGTATAAAAGATCTATCGATAACATTTAATTAATAATAATAATTCATATCATCATGTGATTTTAGAGATTCTTAAAATTTGGAGTTGATATAAATGATCATGATATATATATATATATATATACACACTCTTGTCAAGCTGTCCATGTAATCATACAAATTACGATTAAATTGTTATTTCTGATTAAGATGATCTTTTTATTTTTTTCCCCGAAAGTTCCCTCAAAGGGAATCCAATAGATAAGTTAGAGGAGCACGGAGATTAACAAGAAACTGTTTTTGCAAAATGTCAGTGCACAATTTTAATTTGGAGTTTGGGTTCAAGTTACGTTGTTGACAATTTTAACTGGAAATTGATGCTGCCAATAATAATACACCAAATCCGGAGTTTGCTGGTTTTGCCTGGTGAAGAGAACATGGGATGAAGAGTAATGAATTTGATTACGTAAATAAAATGTGAGATATGAGTAATATTCATTTTCCTTCTTAATTTATTAATTACGATTAAAAAAATCTCTTGATTTCCTTTAACTTTGATGCACCGGCCTCTTAAATCCTACTCCTATATACAAAGGGTACGCACAAAATAAGGAGCTAAGAAATGGAACAATACAGAAAATTTTAGTGAATTATGAAAAATATAATCCAATTTCTTTTTTCTTTTTTGTAAGAAAAAACTTAAGAAAGTCAACTTGGAGTATCATGTGACCATCATGAGCATCAGTTAATAATTGTCACATGTGATCTTCTGAGAATAAAATTATATAAAAAATATAATAAATTGTATTTTTTTTATTAATATGTGCAAAAGTATATGTTAATTAAAATTTATATTGTTTAATTCTTTAAAAAAAAAAAGAGACGAAATAATCCTCACTCACTTATTAAGTCAAAGTATACACATGTATATGTTGAATACACAACATGTATACTTTTGAAATTTCTTAATTTTTGTTTCAATTACAATATCTTGTATCTTTTCATCAAGGTTATGACCCTTCTGGACAAATATTGCGTGAGAATCAAACTCCAGACATAAAATTTTTGTGATAAATTCCATATTTCTGTATGAACATATGGGAATAACGGAGAAGTACCACACCAGCATGTCAGGCTATTTATTTGTGTTTCTAGAACACGAGTAACTGGCATGGGGGGTACAATAAAATAATGTTGTTTTGTTAAAATTTAGTTATCACAAGATTAATTATTTTGAGATTAATTATTTTGAAATAACTTATTTCATCATATATATGAATAACTTATCCTATTACTATATTATAAATGGTGTGATAAGTCATTCCAAATATGTCAGCCAAACAAGACTTCTAAATTTTATCTCAGGACTATTTATGTTTATCTCGTACACCAAACAAACATATAATATTTGAGTACATACATATGAACATTAAATTTTTGAATCAGGCAATTGTTGAAGAAGGTGGAGCCAATTGTTATTCTATTGATTCATTGTGGATACATTTTTTTTTTGGATCAGATTCTTTTTTTATCCATTTTATAGTAGCTCTTCATAAAATTTACTTTAAAAAAGTGGTGGCATAAGTATCGTCAAAATTTTTTTTTAAACTAAATTTTCAAAATCTTTAAGACTATATTGTGAATGTTCAGATCAATTAATAGAATTACATTAAATATTTGTGTGTTTTTCTTTTTAACGTATCTCTCTTTTTTTTGGTGTGTTTTTCTCTAAGTTTAATTTTGTAGATTATGCATAACACATGATTACCTTTTATCTTACTTAGTCTGATGATTACGTAAACTTTCACACTATTAATAACGTACAGTTCTCCACCTACTAATTTCCTCTCTCATTACCCCTTCCCTGCCCCTAATTAAGAAATAAACGATGCCTTTTCCTACTTCTAAACAGTGCACAAATTAAAGAAAGTCGTCTTAGTGAAGCAGTGAGGAAATGATTATTCTAGAAATATGGAACTTGTTTATTAATGTAAATTATTATAGTCAATGTTTATTTATGAAGGGAAGAATAATAGAGATCTACACGTGGTCCAAAATTATTAGACTTTGCATTTATGATCACAAGCTTTTTGTTGGTGTTGATGATGGTGTGAATGTATTTTTTTTTTGGAAAAGGTATGAATTTCTTTTTAAATTTGTATTGAAAAATCAGTTACATAATTTAATTATCATAATAATTTATTATACATTTTAACTATTTTAAAATGACACTTTCAGGAGTATGCACTCTCACTGTCATATCAGCACTATATCAGCGTCATGTCAGAAATTGTATTCTTTAATTTTTTTTACTTTCTTTTTTTTATTATTTATGTTTTATTTTATTAATTATATTTTATACTAATTAATTTTTAATCAATTATTAAAGTTCATTAATTATGTCTTCTTCATAGTAAATGGTAAAGAAGTTTCTTCTAGGAATGACCATTAAAAAGATTATCCAAAATCTGGAGTTTAGTCATGGAGTTGAAGAGTTATTTCATTTCAAAATGTATCAACAAGAAGGTTGTTTCAATTTCTTGGTCATGAAAAATGAGCTTCATTATTATTTGTTGTGATTTGTACTTGTAAATATTTTTCACATATGGACAAACATTCTTTGTTCTTTTCCTATGTTTTCTCATGGAGGTTTCTTAAAAAATCAAAATAGTAAATTATTCTTTCCATTTCAATTGATCACCTTATTTCACTCAAAATGTCCGTCGAAGCTGCAACAATTGAAACCTTCCAAAATTTTACTCCTATATGAAGTAATTTGTTTCTTAGTTGCTTCTTGTTATTGATTTATTTTAAATTTAATGAGGTGTGAAGAAGATGAGGATTGTGGGGTGTGAAGAAGAATAGATGTGGAGGGTGGGGTGTAACAAATATTTTAATTTTTTTTTACTTACTTAATTATCTGACACGCATGACTTTTTTTTAATTATTATTATTATTCCATGTCAGCTTTAGAAGGTAAATTAATTCACTTTTAAATAGCAGTGATGTGTAATAGATCATCATGATAGTTAGGGGTGTTCATGGTTCGACTTGAATCGGTTATTGATTAAAATCAAAACCAAACAAAATCTAGTTGATTTTTAAGTTTCTAAAACCAAACCAAACCAAATAAAAAAAATCATCGATTTGGTTATCGTCGGTTTGGTTCAGTTTTACTGGTTTATTTGGTTTGAAAGTAATAATTTTTTTGAGGACGTACGTAACTCGATAGACACAAACACCAAGTACATGAACAATCTACAAAAAAGCGATTGTCAGTTTAGTCAAGCAATATTAGAGTTATCATAACACGAACAAAGTAATTCATTTAAGAGAAAGTGTGACTATTTTATGTGAAGTATAGTAGGTAAAGATTAAAATGAATTTTGATGGACTTAGATTTGAAATTGTTATATTTGGTCTAAGTGTTGGGCTTGAGAAAATGGTAAAGTTAAAGACTAAGTATTTTTAATCTATTTATGAATAATATATAAATAATTATAAAATTTAAATATCTAATTTATGGGTTCGATTTGGTTATTTTTGCGGTTGTTTTTTAGTAAAATCAAATAGTATCGGTTTTCAAAATTTAAAAACCAACCCTAATTAAACTAAATCAAATATCAATTTTTTAAAATCGATTTGGTTTGAATTGCAATTTAATTTGATTATTAATCATAACTATAAACAGCCTTTTAAGTGTGTAACTGACTTTTTGATACAAGATTAAAGGAAAATCTATGTTTTTTCCCGTCGTGGAAACTTGTGTAATTTTTACTTGTAAAGAATGTCAACCCATATTGACATTGAAGATTAAAAATATCAACACTATGCGAATTTGAGAAAAGAAATAGGTAGAGCCGCCAATTATAACGTCGGCAAATATATTTTGCGCTTTCTAGCCTTTTCGGTTGACCACCAAAGTACTTGTGATGACACTTGGCAGAAATTCCTGGAATTTAGGTGGAACCTATGGTCCTTAGAGCTTCCCCTTCACATGATTTTTCTCCCTTTATATTATAGCTTGGAAGGGAACTAACTCCCAATTGTGATCGTTGTCAACGAATTTGGTCAATTTAACAAAACCACACAACTTATTTATCTAGTCTTTCAATCAATAAAATGTAATGTAATTGTAGCATATTTAATAGAAAATTTGGTCACGCGTGTGAATTAAAAAAAAAGAAAAGTAAAGGACGTGGGCTGTTGATGGTAGGACAAAATAAAAGAATCTTATAGAAAAAAATAATAAAAATAAAAGTAGGAGGTGCGTGCATTTTGGCCTTTGATTGTGAGAATGAGCAGAAAGATAGAGAGAAATAAGGATGGTGCAAATGCAATGAGAGAAGAGAGGAAAGGAAAATACGCTACTTACTTAACAAACAGACAGAGAAACAAGGAAGAAAGAAGCATTCCATGACCGTGAGGGTACCTTGCCTCTAGGGAACAGGCTCTTTGCCTTCTCCGAAAGGCCAGGGTCTTCGTCACTGTCAGAGTAAGGGGAACAAGTCCTCTGCATCAATGGTAACTTGTTCCACACTGAGTCTTCACCTTCTTCTACCTTTAATCAAATAGCATGACCTTTAACAATCGCGATTCTCAATTTCTGCATCTCTCCCCCTTCCTTTTCTTTAGGGTTTCTTTCCCATCTTCAGGTAACTTCTCTCATCTCTATTCAATCATATCGTTCTTTTCATTTGTAAGCTTTGATTTCATCATATTGGACCTAATCATATTACCATTTCAATTATTATGCTTATTTCATTCGTGTTCATTTTTCTTTCTAAGTCTGGATTAATGGAGGAGGATTAACATGTAATCATGATTCTGGACTTAAGAATTCGATACCAGTACTTCCCTTTGTGATTCCATGGAATTTAGAACATCCTTTAGTTTTCCCTTTTTCTTAAGCTGCTATTCTTTTATCTTAACGATCAGATTATTTGCTAGGATGTCTTTTATGTATTAATTGGTGGTTCTGCAATGTGTCTTTCTGTTTTTTTGTATAGGTGTTGTTGGTATAGTAAGCCATGCCGACATATACAGCAATAGCTATGGATAGATTAATAGAATCCGGGGGCTCGAAATCCATGACAACTTCCAAGATAGAAGCAAGTTTTGATAGAAGCAAGAATGGTTCTAGTTCAAAACTAGAAAGGAAAATCATCCAGACTAATGTAAAGATGGATGATAGCAATGGTAAGCCCTCGATAATAGGAGATAGAAAAGATCACTGGACTCAAATATCTCCTGCACTATACACAATTCCCAAGCCAACACCCCTTCCAGATTCTCCTTCGTCATTTCCTCCGTCGCCCTACATAATTAATCACAAGCGCCGAGGTCCACGCCTTTCTCAAAGTTTCACCGAAGATGATTTTGGCACTCAACAAGAAGCTCTTGATGGAGAGAAGATGGATGAGAAATTAAGAGAGACGAAGAAAGACCTCTCCAGTAAATCTCTTGATGACCCTTCCATTTCCAGGGAGGCAGTTAATTGTGTGGAAGAGGATAATTTGCTATTCGCTACTGATAACCTTGTTAAGGATGGTGAAGTGACTGACCTCTGTGATGGAGAGCTTCTTCACCGAGATATGCATAATGGTTTATCTGGGCAAAATGGTACAATGAAGTCTGTGGCATTCAATTTGCGGAGAGGGGGTGAAGCTGATGATTTCTTTGACCCACAGGAATCTCTGAGTGTCAGAAGTTTTGGTGAGAGTGAGAGTAATGGTGGATTCCAGCGCTGTTTAAGTTCCATGACCCCAATGGGAGAATTTTATGATGCTTGGGAAGGTAATCACCTTTTCATAATTTGATACTTTTCGTAGTTGTGTCTTTTTATCTTACATTAAAATTGAACTTGAGGTGTTTATTTGTTCCTCTTCTAGTAATAACTTGGATGTTCTTTTTGCTGTTTTCTTCCTTTTCTTTTTCCTGGCTGTCACATTGGCTTCATTGTCATTTCTCCTTGATGCGTAGTTGTAGGCTTTACATTTTCAGTCAACTATGCAACTTTTGGTGTTCTATGTAAATACCTTGTTACCATTGAGTCTCTTTTCCTTCTTGTGACAAGTTATTGAGAATTGTATGTCATCACCGTGCTTACTGTAATACTAGTATAACATTATTTTTTGTTGTTTTATGTGCATCCTCTCTTCAGAACTATCTTCAGAGAATGGGCCACAGTTACCTACAAATGATTTTGAAAATGAGCTACGAGAAATAAGATTGAGCTTATTAACGGAAATTGAAAAGCGAAAGCAAGTAGAAGAAGTTCTAAGTAATATGCAAACTCAGTGGCAGACGATTCGTGAACGATTATCTCTCGTGGGATTGAACTTCCCTTCTAATCCTGTTGCTGGAGTGGAATTGGACAATGAACAGCCAGATGATCAGGTGGAAGATTTGTGTCAACAAGTCCACATCCTTCGGGTCGTATCAGAGTCCATTGGTAAGGGAATAGCAAAGGCTGAGATGGAGACAGAAATTGAGACTCAAATTGAGTCAAAGAACTTTGAGATAGCTCGACTATGGGACAGGTTGAATTATTATGAAGCTGTGAATCGAGAGATGTCACAGAGGAACCAGGAAGCTATAGGTGAGTTTATGCTCCATGTCACTACTTATAATTTGAAGCTGATGTGTTGTACATTTAAAGTAGGTATGTGCCTATTCTCTCAACATTGTTTGGCCAAATGCTTGGGGGAGATCTTACATTTGTTGTTCATACTTCTGTGTCTAATCTCTGACTTGTTGCATCCACAAAAAATAGATAAGGTATGCCGATAGGTACTGAGATTTGTGGGAAAAAAAGCACTTTATGTTGGTATCTGCAATTCGAGAGGGAAAATATTCTTTTTAATTTGCAAATTCAGTTGTCTGCAACAAGAGGGGACAAAAAAACTACTAAATAGTAAATTCTTTTCCCTACAAATTTGGAATCTTAAGTTCAGCATAAGCCAGACATGGTGTTTTTTGTTCCAACTGAACTGATTTATGAAGTCATCATTAGTGGTTTCGTGTGAACTGCAAATATCTTCCCCTCTATCCATGCCAAATGTTCTCATGTTTCATCTTTAGTGTATCCTGAATAATGTCTTGGGCTATCCGTTATTCTACAACCAAACTTCAGTGTGAACTTTTTCACTCATACATGCAGTCTTTTCTGTATTCTTTTCTTAAAATAAAAGAATAACATAAGATATGTACTCAATTCTAATTCTCATATCTATAATGTGTTGGTCAAAGTAGGACATTTAATTCAAAATAACGTGAACAAAAAAATACTATATGCAAGGCATATTGACTCCTTAATATATGTCAAATTAGATTGTATGCATACAGGTTATCCGATTTGCCGAACTGTATGAAAGACCAAATTGAGGCTAGTGGCTTCCTTGCTAACATATAATTTACATCAGGAGTACATTTGGTTTATAGGCCAATTTGTAGGTCAGTGCGTCATCAAAGACCTTACAGATGTAGTTGTAGTATTCTGAGTAACAACTATTCAGGCTGCTTCTCTGAGTATCTAATCTTGGTAACCGCAGTTGATATCTACCAGTAGGCGCTGTATGCCTCGTAGAAAAAATGACAGTTTCTTTGTTTTTGTTTGGATTGTGCAGAGACAGCACGTCGTCTTAGGCAAATAAGGAAGAGAAGGCAGAAGAAATTGATATGGGGTTCAATTGCTGCTACAATTACTATAGGCTCTGCTGTCTTAGCCTGGTCTTACTTTTTTACTGGAAGAGAATCATCTTCTTTGGATCAATCTCATAGTCGTGAGGGAGACTCTGCATCAGAACTATGAGTTCTCAATTAATAGGTTAAAGTGTGCTTATTTATTATACAGGCAAATAAGGAAGCCGGAGATCAATCTTACTACTTGTCTTGTGAATATCATCATATATTTTTTTGTCCTTTTTGATACATAAAGCATATTTTTGCTACTACACATGTACAGATCCTCAAAAATAAATAAAGTTTTTACTCTGTGGTTGTTAGCACCACTAGGAAGTGGTTCATATAACTTGAAGTTGTTGGGCAAATTAAGGTGGAAATTTGTTCTATGTGAACTTGGCAGGCCTTGAGAAGAAATTGTATTGTTGATTAGATTTCAAAAAAATAATCTTGTCAATCAATGACCAGCTAAACTTTTCAATTGCCAAAAATCGAGGCCCAATTAGAACATGCAATACAATTTCAGCATGATACATTTGAGATGAAGCAAGAAACTTGGCTGCACAATTAGATTCCCAAATCCCAGAGACAATTGTCATAATGTATTTGATTACGTTAAGTCCTTTAGAAGACGATCACGACTCATGGAGTAACTAAAGATGAATCCAAGATTGTGTCTGTTGTTTAGTTGATAACAAGTATGGTATCACTGACTCTACTAGAGTAGGTAGCTTTCACCCATCATAGGCCCCCCTCTCAACAAATGAGATTGATTGATACTTCTGTGAATTTGTGATGAAGAAGAATCAGATGAGCAGACACGCCACTCAACGTGTCTTCCACCAAATCAGGGCGCACATCTCGCCTCCATTCCTTTTTAACCAAACCAATTAGGATTTAGGAGGACCTACAACCTAATTTCAGAATTCTGTGCAATAAAAAAAAGCAACTACTTCTTCCTCTCCACTTTTTTTTTTAATTACATCTTTGCCCTTTCTATTTGTTTGCTATAGTTTCTTTATTTTTAAAAATGTATTTTGTGATTTCAAAGTTAAAAGTACGTTGAACTCATAAAAAAGGACATTTTATCTTGTCATCTTAGATATGACACGTGGAAAAGAAATTAAGGTATTGCTATAAAGAAATTAATTGTATACCAACTGAAAAGGCAAGTAGGAAAAACAATTCAAAAGACATTGTAGTAATTTAAAGAGTCCTTAATTTTTATTATTTTCTAAAATAAATAAATATGTATATATTTATATAAAAGAGAACTCTAGGCCATCACAAACAAGAATTTCTTTTTAAATTTATTTATTTTTAAAATTAGCCTCTTTTTTTAATAAAAAAATGATACCTTTATAAATAATTGCAACTTTTATGGCGTCATTATTCTACTTTTATATATCCGGGTATATTGTTTGCACTCATTAATTTATGTTTATGATATTAATTGTTATTTTTTAGTACATATTTTAAACTCAGTTGTTTATGTTTTTGCAAAGTTATTATCTGCGGTTATATTAAACATATACACATATAGTACGTATAGTCATTGTACAAAAAATAATTATTGTAACAGTTCAAAGAATTCATGTTTTGATATTTTATATTAAATTATATAACTTAAAAGTACTGTATATAAGCTTACATATTATCTATTTCTAAGTATATATGAAATTTCTCACTTATCAATTAAAGAAATTCATTATGCATGTTCAAAACTTATAATTACTTTCATGTTCAAGCGTAATTTCTTTTTTTTAATATGTTAACAAATTTTTGAATTTTCTACTAAGACATATATCACAATTGTATAATCTATGAAACCTAAATGTTTCTTTTTATTACGAAATGTCTTTGTAACATATTCTTATTTTCTTTTTGTTTATTTTCCTTTTAATGTTGATTAAAGAACCAATGATTTATTATTTCATGCATAATTCATTCATTAGAGGTTCTTAATTTATGTGATAATGACAAAGAATCAAATTCATGTTGGAATATTGATGATATACTTTTAAGAACCTATTTTCCCATTATTTTTAGTGTATGAGTATTAGAAAAAAATTGTTTGCAAGTCCAATGCAATAATTATTTATGAACACGCGAAGCTCTGACAAATTTCCTAGTATATATATATATATTAATTTTAACTTTTCACATGATATGTTTACAATGATAAAATTAAAAAATATTTTGATACATTCAACATATTTTTTTTATTTTTTTGAATTTAGTTCCGAAGTCAAAATCAATCATATAAATAGGAGACTATTAAAAGAAAAAAATAATAAAAAGAAGCTCAGTGTGAGATGTGAGCGAAGATCTATCTAATTTTCTGTGTATGTGTTAAAAGTCAATTTCTTACTTGTTCAACAAAACAAAATTTCCATACATAAAAGAAGTGTTAGAACTATTTATCATCATTCTAATAGTACTATCTTGACATTATTTTCGAAAGAGAAGATGTATGGAAATCAGAAGGAATTGTATGGTGTCCTCTTCTCACATGGGCTGTTGAAAAACTTGAAACCCTACCTTGATGTTCATAACTTGTAACCACATGGCACGTTACATGCCTTAAAAACCTGGATAAAGAAAGGGAAACCGTTTTTTTAATGTCCAATTTAGTTTTATCCAAAATTGTGTAAATATTGCCCTTTACATAGTATTCATAGCCTCGTGATCTTGCTATATGATGCACATCTATCTTTAAATAAAGATAGAAAATCGAATCGAGTTTTCGTCAAGGAGATGCACAAAATTAAATGTAGTAGAGACGTGTCACTATTCACAATGCTTCCAGAAAATATAGCACATTAATTGTCCACAAAGTTGTGTGTCTGTTTTCCGCAATAAAATATAGCACATTACTAGTCATAATTCGAAAGATATATTTCATTCGTCCATTTTTAATTGTCCGCTATATTTAAAATAGTTATTTAACAATAGTTCTTCATTTTGAATAATCAGTAATAATTTATATTTTATTTATATTTTACTCTTAACATTAAATATTAATATCTTATATCCAATAGATTTTTCAATTACTTAAATTTAATATATTGAAAGTGTACTATGAATTATGATCATATTACTCCTATCACTTCATGTGTTGTTGATCTCTATACGAAATTAATAATAGACAATTATTATTTGACGGAAAGCATAGACACCTCCAATTATAGACAATCCTCTTTCCATAAAGTCAGTAATAATAATGATTGATTGGTCATTATGATTTATACGTTTACCTGTCATCAGTCTGACCTGTTGGTTATAATAGTAATAAGCAATAGTTGATAGCCTTTAATAATCCTGCACACGTATGGATTCTTGAACCACTAAATCTAGTAAATTGTTTGTTTAGACCTGTTTTAGGCCTCCAAAATGTTTTTAAAAAACACACTTTCATCATTAAATATTTGTATAATCAAACATTAACAAAACTATTCTTTTATCATAAACTTTTTAGAACTTCAAATTAAATAACCTAAAGCTTCATATTAATAATAAAGAAAATATTTATAACAGTATCTAAGGTAATGCATTGTAAACACATGCCTGACATCTTATTAACTAGAATAATTTTTTGGTTTTTATATTACTATTTGAGTTTTATAATAGAATACTAGTGTATTTTTTATAAATCTGACATACGACATTATTTGATATCATTTTAAATAATTTCAGCAACATAATTAATGTGAGTATATAAATACATATTCAAATATTTCATAAAATACCTAAAATGCACAATTTAAAACAGTTTTAGTATAATAATTTAAATTAAATTAATCAGTAATCTATATATATATCTATATATATATATATATAAATGAAAGATATAGACCGCTGATGTGACATGCTTCTAATGCATAACTATCTTTTCTTTATATGATGTAACACAATTAATTTCAATCTTTTACTTTATGAAAAGGAAAAGGCATAAGTTGGACTTTTAAAGTTTTTATAACTCCTATTGTCCAATTAACCACACCCTTTTTAGTGTATTTCAAAAAGAATAATTCCTTTCCTTTTTGGCAACATTTTAACTTCAAATTTCCACAAGTCTTCTTTTTTTTAATTACATATTTTTAAATTGAGGGAGTAATATTCCACTATAGTTTATATTTAGGCTATAAAATGGAAAGATTATAACATCCATAGACAACTATAACTCACTTCTTAACTTTGTTGCAGTTTTATTTTTTATCTTCATGTCAATCACTTTCTAATATCATGGTGTATACATATTTCTATTAAGAATGTATTATGTCGATTTGATATTATTAAGAATGTATTATGTCGATTTGATATTATATGTATGTCAGCATCGTCAGCATTATCATGACTCATGATCAATTCATCATGTCAACGGTTTGTCCAACTTCATATTAGCGGGAATGATCCATTAATATACATTTTTCTATTTCATTCAAAAGGAAAAGAGAGATATTACATTGGTGTGGGAAGAAAGATTATGTTGTATCTCTTCAAAATAAAGGTTCGAAAGGATGTTGAGAAAAGTATTTATTTAGTGGAAAATTTATAAGTGTGAAAAGTACTCAAGGGCAAGAAGATTATTGGAGAAAAAATCAATCTATTTATGTAATTCATATTAAATTAGGAAGAGAATAAGGAAGAACTATTTGAAAAAAATTAATTTATTTAAAGAATTTATATCAAATTAGGAAAAGAATAAGGAGAAATTTGTTATGTAATTTAAAAAGTGACGAAATTAATATTGACATTATTTCTTTCTATCTTTTTTGTTCTACTAATTCCCTTTCTTTGATCATAATTAAGGATATGATGTTAATTTAGGAACAAGTAATATATATATATATAAAAGTTTCATTGAACATATATGTAATTGTGAAAGGAAGATTCAACAACGCAAACAAAAGTTAATAACAATCATTAAAAAGAGAAAGATAACTCGCGATAGAAAAAGAACAATAAAATTGACACAACACATTAAATGCTAATTTAGAAATGAGGAGAAGAGATCTTAGTGAAAAAAGAACAACGCGAATCTTTTGCTCTGTCTCTTATTCTTTTGATGAAAGAATGTTATTTTTTCATGAAAAAAGAAAGAGATGATTGCTCGTTATACTTCTGAAGATACTAAAGAAAATCATGTAATAATCAAATTTCGTCAAAATATTAAGAATTTTTAAAAGAATATTGCATTATAATTTCTATTGAGAGAAAATCATATTGATTGAGAAATCTGTAGAAAAAATAATAAGTGGTCCAAGACCTAAGAAAAATTATTTAGACAGAGATTCAATTTATTTATGGAATTTATATTAAATTAGAAGGAAAATAAGAAGAAATCTA